TTTTTGGCACGATGTGCCCTTCCAAGCCCCAGTTATTGCTAATGCGGCAGAGTATTGAATGGACTCGAGTTTTTCCATCGAATTGGTCAATGTAACAGTTTGGCTACAATCATGAGTATTTTGTGGAATGTGATATATTACGTCACCATAATCCAGATGGGGACGGACATAGAGTTTATACATTTCGTTGAGCGTATATCGCGGCATATACTTTGAAAGGAATCTCAACATCCCTATGCCTTGTTTACATTTAGAAATAATTGATTGAAAGTGACTAGCGAATGATAGTTTAGAATCAAGTATAATACCAAGGTGTTTGTGCTCGTGGACCTTCATTACTGGAATATTATTAAAAAAGATAGGAGGATGATTCGTTGGAGTTTTCTTTTTGGAAAAGATGACCTCAACTGCTTGCTTAGTTGGGTCAGGATTAAAAGTCATTCGCCAATTGTGTGCCCAAAGCTTGATGAGGTTTAAATCATGGTTCAAATCACGTGCAGCTTCATGTGGGTCGTTTACAACTGTGAAGATCGATGTGTCATCGGCGAATAGTTTCACATTACACGTTAAGCCATCTGTCAAGTCGTTGATATAAATTAGGAAGAATAGAGGACCGAGGATAGAGCCTTGGGGGACTCCAGATGAAATACTACCCCATTTAGAAGTTCTTCCATTCAAAACAGTGCGCTGCTTTCTATCATTGAGAAAGCTTTGCATTAGTGTTAGTAATTTACCAGAGACACCACATCGGCGTAGCTTGTATATGAGACCTAGATGCCAGACCCTGTCAAAGGCCTTTGAAATATCGAGAAAAACGGATCGGACATCTACCGTGGGATTGCAGTCGAAAGCAGTAAATATGGAGTTGACTATTGTCAGTAACTGGTTGACAGTTGAATCTCCTGGGCGAAATCCTGACTGATTTGGGTTTAATAAATTATTTGTATTCAGATGATGATAAAGCGAGTCAAAGATCAGCTTTTCCAGAATTTTACCAAAGATTGGGAGAAGAGAGATAGGACGATAGTTTTGCTTCATGTTCTTACTGCCTTTCTTATGGATGGGAACTATGTTAGCTTGCTTCCAGACTTCAGGGAAAACACCCTGGCTCATACACGATTCAAAAATCAATTTAAGTGGTAGAAGAAGTGCATCATCGCATATCTTTATCATACGCACTGAGATATCATCACAACCATGAGCCTTGTTTGGATTCAATTATCGAATGATGTGCAAGATCGTATCGTCAGAGATAGAGAAGGCAGTGAGCAGTGGAATATTCGGTACAAATAATGGAGGAAGTTCGCTACCAGTATCGATTGTGGTGCACTGTTGGATAAAATAATTATTAAAAATTTCTGCTTTTTCAGAAAAATCCAACACAAATACATCATTTTCTAACAGAGGAGGGATTATTGGTATTTTGGCTTTGTTCAAAATTTTATTGATCAAGGACCAATAGAGTTTTCTACCTGTTTCAGGATTTGAAAGTGCTCTACCTATTTTCGTAAAGTACTTGTCCTTAGCGTCCTCGATCATTTTGGATCCAAAAGATATCATGTTGTTGATGGCCTCGAGCCTGTCCTCCGGCTGACCATTTCTTATGAAGGTCTTATATGCCCTATTCTTCTTCTGTAAAAAATTTTTGATTGACTGTGTTAACCAAGGTGCCTGGCGAGACCTGACTGTGATTGTTTTGTTTGGTATAAAGTTTGAAAAGATATTCAATAGAATCTCATTTAGATTTTTGACTTTAGTATTAGGGCATGTGACTTTCGAAAAGGTATCACTCCAAGGAAACATCTCAATGCTTTTCTTTATTGCAGTCACATTTGCTCTATCATAGTACCAAATTTTGCGTTTATACGAAGGTGGAGACAAGTTTGTTACGCTTAGTTTACCAAAGATAATCTGATGATGACAATGCTCCTGTAAAGAGGGGTGAACACCCGATTCAAGGAATAAATTTGGCTGATCAGTAAATATAACATCGATGCATGACCTTGAATTTCCAATAAAGTGCGTTGGTTCACTTATAAGTTGATGTAGGCCAAGGTCAGATATGAGCGGTTCGAAAAGTTTGCCCTCTTCATTTTCAATGTCATCTACCCACCAGTTTGTAGAGCGGCAGTTGAAATCCCCCGTTATAATAACACAGTAAGGGTTTTCACCAGACATCTTGGACAACATGAGTTCGAATTTATTCATAAAAGCCTGAAATTCGGATGGGCTCTGACTTGGACTCCGGTAGAGGATGGAAAAGAAGTATTTCTTTTTATCTAGCTGAATTTCACACACAATGCATTCAGGTAGAATTGCAAGGTCTTCCCGACTTATTGCTGGGAGAGAATCTTTAACGTAAAGACCTACACCTCCTCGTTTTATGTTTAATGGATGGTTTCTTTTGATAAATGTGTATCCATTGAGGTCTAATTTTTTTGAATTTACTGTGCTGTCAATGTGGGTCTCGACAATGCCTATTAAGTCATAGTTATAGATTGAATTATACGCTTCGATATGAGAAACACGTGCAAAATCGTGCACGCAAATACTATTCAAGTTCCAGGAACAAAAACTGAAAGTACTGTGATGTGGCCCTGGGTTGATTTCAACGTCACCACTCATTGCAATTGTTTTGTTTGTTATCCACTGCAAGTAAAGCGTAGAGGATACTGAGCAAGCGGCATAAATGAATGTATATCTAAAAAGCAGTGATTGGAAAATAGAGCGTTTGTAGGGATCGAGAAACAAAAGTGGAAAGCGCTTGATTAGTTCAAAGAGTACATATCCAATTTCCTTGGCAGACGAGTATATCCGGGCGAACATGTGCAGAAAACTAGTGTCCGAATAAGACGTTAAATTTGCTGTAGTCTGGACAACCATAGTGAGTGGTAAGGCAGGAATTGCGATTAACACTAAAATGCAGCAAGAGATGTATAATTTAAAGATTGAAAGAAGCACTGATATGGGTTTTACTCGTAAATGCATGTTAGCTTTTGTGATTAAGGGTAAGCGGAACGATGATATTGCCGCTCGCCAATGATTTATATCAACCGGCATCATAGCACATTAATCTCCTCAACAAGTGAAAGGCTACTTCGCAAGTCCATGGTTTAGCTGCCTTACTATGCCTTACCATGGTTTAACTGCCTTACGTTTGACGCAAACAACGCAAGTTTAAAGTTACAAGGGTATTCTGATGCAAATTGGGCTGGTGACGTTGATTCAAGACGATCTACTTCAGGATACATGTTTCAACTAGCAGGTTCTACAGTTTCATGGAGAAGTCAACGGCAGAGTGTTGTTGCGCTGTCAACGACAGAAGCTGAGTACATCAGTCTCAGTACAGCTACGCAAGAAGCTATCTGGCTTCGAAGATTGATAGAGAGTTCAGGAATTGAAACATCGGGACCCACAACAATATTCGAAGACAACCAAGGAGCAATCGCTCTATCAAAGAACCAAACCAGCCACTCACGAACAAAGCATATAGATATAAAGTACCACTTTGTTCGAGATGCTGTGGAAAAGAAACAAGTAAATCTAAAGTATTGTCCATCAGAGGAAATGATTGCAGATATCCTTACTAAAGCGCTGCCTAAAGAAAAGTTTGAAAAATTGCGAAACTTGATGGGTCTTAGATTAAAGGACTAAGAGAAGATACTCATCAAGGGGGACTGTTGAACAATAATTATCTTTTGTTATATTGATTCGTATCTACATCCGCTTCCTGTTCCGCAAAAGCGGTTATACATCATGTGACTGTAATGAGTTTAGTGTGTCTCGCTTGCTGAAGTTGTGTTCGCTATTATTATTGAGTTTTGTTATGTTGTCAGATATACACTCGTGATTTCTTTACGCTATTTCTGCGAAACTCGACATAACTTTAAATTAACAATATTGAAATGCAGAATTAACAAAATTTGGTTTTAACAACAATCCCTTATGATTCTTGATATAAATCAATATAGTAAGACAGCTGTAAAACTATAAATACATCATATTGCTTACTTCGCAACATTGTATTCAATGTTTTTTATGAAGAAATGAAAACGTTTTATCCCTGCAATGAGTACAAACTAGCAAAGACTTAAGCAAAGACATTAAATCTCTTATCTAGGATTAGAACAATAAACAAGACTAGATGCTACTGCAAAATTTGTTGTACATCAAATTACTTTGAACTTAGAAGAAGTTTCAATCACGTGACTGAAGATTGAAGCATTCGACTCGTTTGATTTTTATACAGTTTATTTCAATGGCTTGAGTTTTTTGTGCTCAGGATTTCTCGTGTTATTTATTTCTAATCGCTGGATAAATTTCTTGACAAAGTGTGGTTACGTAGATAAAATTCATTGGGTCCAATTCATCTTGTTTAAGGACCTGGGAACGCGTCTATCACCTGATTATAGAGTCGGATGTGCCAAAGATTCGTTTTGAATAGCATACCCCCAGTTATAGCTTTGTTGACCAATATTTTCAAATTTAAACATATCAAGATAAACATATAAACGTGAATTCTAATAAAAAATATTACGCAATGTTTTTGTTTTGAAAATTTTAATCCATATAATTTTAATCCATATTAAAATAATAATCTGTTTTTACAGTTTTTACTGTAAACCAACCACATATCATAGAGAATTATCATAAATTACCTTTGCAAAGTGCAAAATCAGTCAAACCTGGCCAAAATATAGTGAGTCAAAAGCTGAGTTTTGCTAATGAATTATTGTTAAGACAAGCCTGTATCACCCATCCCTGTATTGTTGTTAATGGGGAAATAACCTGTGCTTTTGTTGCCATATACCAGCATATATATTACACACAATGTGATTGATTGACAGAAGTACTTCATAATATTCATTCCGGTTATGTCATAAATATCTAAAAATTCGAAAAATCTTTCTTTACGACACCAACATATTGGAACTCAATTGCTTCTTTTATTGGAGCCACTCGAACAACTGCATCTTTGAAGACTTTTCTTTTCTATTTAGGCTGATAACCTCAGACTTCGCAGCAGCGGCAGTGTTGATATCGTTTGGGGCAGTCCTTGGCAAAGTGTCTCGCTTTCAACTTCTAATAATTGGTTTGATGGAGGTGGTCTTCTATGCTTTGAACGAAAAACTTCTTTCTCATAAATTTCATGTAACAGATGTTGGTGGTTCAATGGTTATTCATGCCTTTGGTGCTTATTTTGGCCTCGCTGTCTCCAGAATAATTCACAATGACAAATTGGCAAAAGAGAACACGAAAGAAGGCGCCTCCTATGATTCAGATTTATTTGCCATGATAGGTAAATTTGATTCTATTCATAACCTGAGTTATAAGACCGGCTCTAGAAATAACCTTCAGATCACTGCAATAAAGGCGTGACCGCACGAGGTGTGGCAATAATTGATGAAAGAGACTCCTGCATTAAAAAACGCTTTTAACTCTCACTTTCCACTTCAAACTACAAGTATAAAATCATTTTTCAAAACAGGGCAGACAGACGATGTATTCGACACTATCTTTTATTTCAGGGACTCTCTTTCTCTGGCTATTTTGGCCTAGTTTTAATGGTGGTTTGCTTGGACCAGGCACGCAGCAAAATCGTGCAATCATCAATACCTACTTCTCTTTGTCCGCTGCTGTCATCATGACCTTTATTTTGTCTCCTCTTTTGAACAAGGAAAACAAAATTAGTATGGTAAGTTGCTTTAATATACAGGGAAGCATTATTATTAACACGAATCAAAGTTCTTATGGTCTGAGTCAGGGGTAGGCAACCTACGGCCCGCGGGCCATAATCCGGCCCGGGAAGGGAATTTTTGTGGCCCGCGAGATGAAAAGTATCATATTATATCTTTTTGGTTGGCAACTGGCAAGCAAGACTCTATGAGGATCCAGGGCCTGAAGGTCAGTTTTTGAAAGCTATGGTACGGGAATGTACTTTTATTGTTCATTTGTTTATATTTTTGAATATTCTTAAAATTGTTAAAAACTAGGTGTTAATGGAAACATTGTTTTGTGCAGTTTCTAGGCAGTTCATAAAAGAAATTCTTTACCTGAAGTTCAAATTTCTTGCATTCCTTAATATCAATTTTTGTCACCTCTCGGTGGCATGCTTATGTAAAGAATTTTCTTCGTTTGACAAATTTTGCAAACAAGGCCATATTTCAAACAAACCTAATTTTTTTTATAAAAATCTATTGTAGCTTTTCCCTAAAAATTAATACACTCTTCTAGAAGTAAGTGTTTCCGAATTTCACTTCAAGATTCAACTTTCCGATGTGCTCTGCTCTTCAAATTTTTATAATCATCCAATCCCAAAAAATCATAATTAGTTATTTAAGTTATTTGTAGTATTAAACATTCATTCAGTAACTTGTGTTCCCTTAGTTTAACGATAAATCATTCGTATCAAGTCTTAAGTTCATCAAAGTGCTATCTTTCTCCCAGCTTAAGCCTTAGAACTTAAGCAAGTGTCTTTCAACATTATGGAAAAATCCCTCAATGTTGGATCTGGTGACAGGGATGGAATAACGTTATTGTGACTTCGTTCGCACTGCAAGTAAAGAAACGGGTGATGATCACTAAGTCAATAGCAAGGTCTTTTGAAAGCTCGAACTAATCAAATTTTTTTGTTTTATGAAATATCTGCCTTGCTCAGTATATTCTTAGATCAAACAGTTAAAGGCATTTTTCAAACTTCAGGTCCATGTGCAGAACGCCTCTCTTGCTGGTGGGGTTGCGGTTGGTACAATGGCTGACCTCGTACTGAATCCTTGGGGAGCATTGTTGGTTGGTATGATAGCAGGAGCTTTGAGCACTTGCGGATATGCGTTTCTTACGGTAAGCTTACTGGCAAATGGAAGAAAATGAACTGTTCACTTTCCTTGAAAATAAAAATTTTTCAATTATCTATTTCCAAGTAATATGATATAGAATTACTTGCAGCAAGCGTTAATGCACAGGGTACAGCCACGTAGCTGCAGGGGGCACGGGGGCTGTGCCCCACCAAATGAAAATTTTGACAACGACTTGCCCCCTCTGGCTACATTCTTCCGAATGATATTTTGAAGATTTGGCGTAGTTATAATTCCATGAGCTTAATTTAGTCCAAATATATATGTTTGTTATATGACTGTTTTCTTGTTTTAAAGCCTGCCCTCCTCAGGTATGGTTCTTGCTCGAGTTTGCCCCCTAGCCGACATCTACAGCTACGTGGTTGACAGGGTATCTTGTGTTGCACAAAAAGCTATCCAGCTAAATTGGAAGACTTAAAGGAGAAATTGCCAGCTTCTAGGTATTTCCAGTCAACATCAGGGATTTATGCTTTCCATACCCTAAGTTATTACTCCATTGAAATACAAGAAAATTTCTAACTCTACAATTATTCGGGGTGATATCAGATTTAATCCTGGCAGCTAAACTTACTTAAACATGTGTTCAGGGGCGTAGCGTTAGGGGTAGGGGAGTGTACACCCCCCAACTTTCAGAGAACTCGTCGGTAGAGTTGAATTCATAACAAAATACCAATGTAACAAAATAATTCTGTCGGTAAAATTGGTTTTGCATCTCTTACGCCCCCCCCCCCTCTGCGAGAATGGTTACGCAACGCCACTGCATGCGTTCAATAGACTCTGCTGCGGTAATGTTTTGTCGCCCATCGAACCCCATCAAACTGGTGAATTGTTTATAGTATTCCCAGGCAACCAAAAAAGACTGTTGTGATTACTCAGCCAAAGCACTTGATTTGTATATTAAAATCCCTCTCCTTGGTCCTTTTTAGCCTTTGTTAAACCGGAAATTGAGGATTCACGACACGTGTGGAGTGCACAACCTTCATGGAATGCCTGCAATTGTTGCAGCTATTGGTGGTGCCATTGCAGCTGCATGTGCCGATGAAAAGGCATATGGAAAAGAGTAAGTGCAATTCTAAGTTCCGTGTGTTGATTGGTCCTCAGACCATGCCCCAAATGTGATTATCCTCTTCACACTATTGTCTCCTCTGTTACCGAGGATTTTCCTTTACTTCTACCTGAATCATTTTTGTTGAAAGTGAACTGTTGAATACGTTTTTAATAAATGTTTATGAGTCTGATGATGTCTTAAATTTTAAAACAAGGTTCACTGATTACATCATTTTGAAAGACTTTTTATTGGGCCTATACAAGATATGTTGCAGTAACCCTTCCATGGTCTTTTGTCCAGTTCTTCTTAGATGATTAAAAAGGCAACAAAGGCCTTCTTTTTCACTGAGAGTTAAGATTACATAGCAAGAACTGATAAAAAACAAGAAAGACATGCAGTTTCATATCTCAATCGTTAAGATAAGAAGCCATTGCACGCGTTGCTAATAAACAACAACAACAACGTTCCCAATGCAACCAGTTTTATAATTGTTGTTGTTGCTGCTAAGTTGCCTTATTCTCCGACCGGAATTACGGTTAAGTTGTCTCCAAAGCCGGTTATTTATTTAGGGCGGTAATTTATTCAGGGCGGTTTTTTATTCAGGGAGGTAATTTATTCCGGGCAGTTGTTTATTCAGGGCTGTTATTTATCAGGGCAGCTATTTATTAAGGGCGGTTATTAATTCAGGGCGGTTTTTTATTCAGGGCAGTTAATTATTATTCAGGGCGGTTATTTATTCAGGGCGGTTATTTTTTCTGGGCAGCTATTAATTCAGGGCAGTTATTAATTCAGGGCAGTTATTTTACGACCAGTTGGCACACCCGCTTTTCTATTCTTATGATAGTGCTACTGGCATCAAATCGTACCTTTCCAGGCACTTTTTGCAAATATTATCTTATTGTTTGCAGCCTGTATTCAATATGGCCGTCACGTTCTAATGTGCCATCAACAAACACAACGGCGGCTGTCAAAGGACGTTCTGCTAGTGCTCAAGCCGGGTACCAGTTGTTTGCTTTGATCGCAACATTTGCAATTGCCAGTGTAGGTGGCATCATAACTGGTGAGTTTATTTTAAAGTTTTTGTATCTACATATGCTTTATTTTAAGGTATTTTATTTTCGGAAGTATTTGTCACTGTAAGGTAATTTGATGCAAGATGGTGGCCTGTCGCATGCTCTAAGATATGGTTTAAAGCGTTCTCGTGCAAACTTAACCACCGATAGTTGCGTGCCGTTCCATATACGGAACAATATGAAACGGCACGCAATCGTTCCTCTGTGAACTGGGCATTTGACTTTTGCAGTTTGGACATAGCTACACCTGGGTTCGCTGTGGGTTTGTTTGACCCGATTTTGGGTGGTGGGTTTGACCTACCCAGGTTAGCGTTACCATATTGCATTGTGAAAACAAACCTAGAGCGATCCTACGTCACAACATCTCTTGACGCAAGTGGATCATTTAAGCAATCAGTAAACAGAATTGAAGTGAAGTTCCATATCTTTCCTGCTCCAGGGGTGGCACCTTTAGTTCAGTTTTTAAATTTTGCTGGTATGAAGTTTTGTGTCTTTTGAAAAATTTTCTGATGCCTTATAGGCCCTTTTACTCTGGCCTTCAATTGCGTTAATTTTATGACGCGGCGTTAAGAGGCTAATTTCCAGGTGCCGATACTTACCGCAGTTTTGCCGGGCATTTGCCCATATTTATAGAATATTTTTATATGAATCTAAAGTAAAATGAAGCGGAAATAATCATTATTCACGAATTCTGTCGCAGGCTTCGCCATTGCATTTGCAGACCAGTTAACAGAAGAACAGTATTATGACGATGCTTCGTATTGGGAAGTTCCTGTAAGTATTTCCTCGTTTTTAGCTACCCGAATAACGCCTATGTGGTCTTAGCCCCCAGGGACGGATTCAGCGGGGGGCGTAGGGGGTGCGACAACCCCCAATAATTCTGTGTTCTTCGGTAAATTTTGCTTCCATTCGGTAAAAATCATTTTCTGGTAGTCAGAAGTAACAAAATAACGTCAATATTTTACTTTTTTATCTTCTTATCTTCTTTATCTTAAAGTTAAAAACCGAATTTTGAAAGTGGGTATTTCCATCATTTTCCAGTGACCGGAACGGTGTGATGCCGAAATTCAATTAGTGTCTAACACTCCTAATTATTATTACTTAAATCCGTCCCTGTCCATCCCAGCTGTCCATATTTTGCCATATGATTATCAATCATGTTTATGCAAATGGTACATGGTTTGATGTAAATCTTTTACTTGCCCCCCTCCTAAGTCTATTGTTAATCACAAGTTAAAGCGGTTAAAATTTTACAACATTATTGCATTCACGAGGTAGCCGTTTCAGAACAGACTGAACTGAAATGTTTTATTAAAGTGATGTAAACTTTAGGAGATGCCTCTCTGAGTTTTATCGGGACAGTGACTTTGTCCCAACTAACCCGTTTGGGAGATTGTGTCCCGATCAGAAAAAAGTCTATTCAATTTTTTTGGCATACATGGTCCTTGTATCTACTTAGTGATGTTGGATTGATTGTGTTAACCAGTATGGTCTGTTAAGTCAAAATCTTGCAACAATCGTGCAAAATATGATATCAGCATAAAAACGTTAGAGCTTATGCAGTTTAAGGTGTAGAATATGAAACAAAACAGACCAAAGTTGAAAAATTCCTCTAAGAGCTATTTTTAGAACATTGAACTTGGTCTCAGTCCTCAAAATAAAAAAAGTCACTACCATGGATTGGTAACACTTCCTTACGATTTGAAAGTCAGATTAAACAAGACATCACAAAATGTTTCTTGCTATGAATCCTCGTATTGTTTAAAGTACTAGTAGAGCTCTTCCGTCATTTTAAAAGGACTGCGTTCCTACCATCCAAAAAATTTATACAAATTTACGTGACAGTGCTAATATATAAAAATTAAAACCATGCAAACTGATTCTGATGTCGTATTCTCTGAGGAGTGTCAGACGAAAAGCTTCAGTATTGTAGAAGAGTGTGTTTGCTTTTTTCAATTGTTTTGTATTTGACCTCATCTCGAGATTTTTATGCTTGGAATTGCATGGAATAAAACAGAGAGGTTACGACGTGAAGAGTTTTTGATTACAGGGACCCTAACACCTAGGGTCCGTTACCACTGATCTGTGCTATGATTTAGCATTTTGTTATTCTTTGAAAATAGCATTTTCCAAAGAATGCATTTTTCAGGGATTCCGTAGCATCAAATGTTTATTTTTTTCCTTCGGTGGCAGCCAGATACTGCCTCGGATTACTACTTAATGCCATACTTGGATGATTTTTCCAAGGTTGGAAGATCCGATTTTCCGTTTTGCGTCTACTTAAATCTCCATGTTTTCAGTTGTTGGCTGTTTATTTGTTCTGTCTTATTTTGATTATTAACTGCTTTGTAGCCTTGATATTACAAAGAACTACTTAATTTATATCCAATTTTGAGGGAAATGCTCGAGGCACATCAGATTGGGATAGTGCCCTCAAACTTCCCGTAATTTTTCCACTAGTTGCCCCCAGGGGTGATTCTAACGTGGTTTTGTTACCCTTTTGTGATATTGTAGTTTTGTTTTGTGGTGTTGTGATTTCAATATTGTAGTGTTGTAAAAAAATCGACCATCTGGAATAATTTTTCGCAGAATGTAGGAATCGTCGTTCCGCTCAAGTTTTCCTTTAGTCAAGGCTTTTTTTAAACCAGTGGTTCTCACATCCTTGTTGTCGCACTTGCTCTTGTCAAGAGTAGAATTATAAAACTTAATAAAAAAATTACCAGCACTTGAATTTGTGGTGTTGTAAATTTTTCTTAGAATAACACCTGCTTGCCCCCCTACGACTTGCGGTTCTTGCTCGAGATTACCCCCGTGGCTGATATCTACAGCTACAATGCCTGCCAAAAGTCTTGGAACACTGACATCAATTTCCAAGGTCAAAACCAATCATCCCCCTCTCCCCCACGGAACAATGTTGGTTTACTATCAAACGGATTAGGATTTTAGGAAGCACTTTCTTTTGCGCTTCTTTATGATATTTCTCTAAATCATCAACATTGTTTGAGGGGGAAGGGGGCGGAAGTAGCAAATTTTTTTCATGAAAGGAATGAAAGATATCAAATGCAGCGTAAATTGGTGGGTGTTCCAAGTACTTTTGGCAGGCATTGTACATGTTTGATTCAATCAAGAAAGAAACAGGTAAACAGAACAGGACTAACAGTGCACTTACTTGAAATGTGATGCACTCCGTAGCTGTCCTACCAAAAGGTGGAAATACCTCAAAGTATGTTTAAGAGTCATTTAGAATCGAGTTTGGAAGTCTTTATTACGATATCAATCCAAGAACTTTTCTCAACTTTATCGCGATATGGACGTTTTAAGAAAGTAATATTTTCATTCAAGGTCGAAGCAAGAGAGGAGCAAGAGCAAGAGCAAGAGAGGTTAATGAAAAGTGTTCCTCCCGAAAATGAAGATGAGGATGCAGTTTAAATAGACCCGGTTTAGTTCAATTTATGCCAAGCTATTAAGCCTAGAAAGTATCGATCTCTCTGCTTGCTAAGTGAGTAGCCAACAAAAATGTATGCCCAATATAGTTCGTTGTAGGTTGTGGGATACTATTCCAAGTTTTTGGACCTGTGTACAAGAAAATTTGTTTGGTATGTTCTAATTTTAGTCTTTGTACATGGAGACTCTTGCTGTTCCTCATGTTGTATTTTGATATGACAGACCTTTTTATGAACTTATTTTGTAGGCCTTCAGGACAAAGCTGATTGTCAATTTTGTAGTTCATTACCGCCTGGTCAAAGGTCATCAGTTGATTTACTTTCAGGGAGTTCTTATTCCAGGCATCCTTTACTCTCGCAGACTCTATCAGATCGAATGCTCTGTTCTGATATTTTTGCAGAGTGCTTAGCTAAGTATCAAAGAGGGCTCCTCGTACCACATTGGCATATCTCAAGTGGCTTTCAACATGATACATATCAAGCAGTTGAGATTGTGGTTAGATGTTTTTTAGTTTCCTGAGTGATGATTGGCTGCTAGCTAATTTACCTTCGACTAATTTGTATTGTTCATTCCAGATTAGCTTATCATCTACAGCAAGTCCTAGATATTTCGTTTTATGAACCTGTTTTATTCTAGTACCATCCAAATAAAATGGTGGCAACTCTGGCAGTTTGCTCTGTCTTCAGGGACTAGGAATTTTAGGCATTCGTCAAAGTCATTCAGATACACGTTGAACAGCAATGGGCCTAGATAGGATTCCTGGGGTATTACACATGTAACTGTCCGGGAATTTGACTTTTGACCGTTTAACGAACTGGTGTCGGTTACTAAGATATGATCTTAACCACTCTACCTCGGTGCTGTCAATTCCATATATTTTAGCTTTCTGATAAGTATTTCATGATCTACCATGCCAAACGCTTTCTTTGATCTAGAAGGAGCGCGAAATTGACATCGTTCTTGTCTATTAGAGAGGTGATGGTCGAATGCAGATGACGATAGGCAAATTGGCTCATTTACTTTCTATTTGAAAGAAGGAAGCCAGTCCCTTTAAATAGCTTAGCCAAAATGGATAGAACGGAAATAGGCCTGTTATTATTTTTCTCATTTCGAGCTCCAGATTTGAAAATTGGCGTAATTTTTGCAATAAATTTCGTAGAATCTTTCATTAGATTAGCAGGAATACCATCTGGACCGGGTACTTTACCATTCTTTAGCATATTTAGAGAGTTGAGCATTGTTTCCTCGCTCATTATTTTGAAAGAAAATTTTTTATCAGCATCACTTCTATTTTATTTGCAAGTTTTGGGCCTACACTAACAAACATTTTGGTGGATTAAAAGTAATTAGAATCGCTTTTTACTTTCCCTCTTGAAATCAAGGCTGCCGAAAGTCTCGTTTCTCCTGCCACTCCTATTCTTCAGTAGCCAGTTTCAGTTGCGGTTCAGAAGTACCAAATCTCCACAGCTGCTATTGTTTCGTCGTCTTCTGGGAGGGGTATCCCCTGTTTTTTCAGCCATTTTGTTACTCTCCCCTCCTTGTTTTGTGCCATAATAAGAAAGCCTGGGCGATTTTCGTAGCTATTGGATAAAACTATTCCGTACCTGTCGATTTTTATTCGGTGAATAGCACAAACAGCTGATTTTTCGTCTTCCGATCACCCGAGAGCGAACCCATGGTGTGATTCATTTCTTTGGAAAGGATTCGCCATGAACTTGTATGCGTGCACTATCTGTAGTCTGATGTATGCATTTAGCATTAGCCCAGTACTGTTCAAACCCAACTGCAGATTCAGAACCAGTTTCATGGCCGGATTTACAACCAGATTTACGACTATCTTCAATACTGGACATTCAAATTCACTTTTTACGATCACGACTAGAATCACAACTACGATGCAACATGTTTTAGTTTTTAATGATCCGCACAGCCAATGTGTTATCATGATCTATGGTAAAACAACCAATTAACCCAACCAATTAACTTCTTCATGTTCAAAATGTTTCTAAATAAACAAAATATCATGTAATCGAACATACATTTTGTAACAAACTTCCTTTTGAACATATTTCAATTAGCTATACGTAGATTTTTTAGTATTAATGATCCAAAAGTTCAATTGTTTTGCTGAAACATAAACACTTCTCTTTTGCCAACGTTGTTTCTGTGGCTTTGGCCAACAATGCTTTGATCGTAGCGTTGGCTTCCTCTGTTCAGCTTCTAATAAAAATGATAAATCCTTATCTGCCACTAGCAAATGGACGGCTTTATCCCTTCCAAACATTCGTACCAGTGTTAATTTAAGGATGAATTTTGCAAAAAATCTTTTCGTTTCACGAGAAATCTCCTGACATGTCCGAAGTTCGTCTGTAATCAAATATTACAGGTTGCATGAAATCGAGGCAACGCAATTTTACTGGTCGAGGTCTCAACTTTCAACTCAGGTCATTCGCTTTAACATTGAGAATGGCTCCGGCCCCATGGGCTCTGGTCCCATGATACCACTGTACGTTGTGATCATAGAAATAGCAGCTACTATTTTTATCGTTGTGATCACATCAGACCCCTTGTTCTAAAATTTATGAGCCATCCATTAGCAATGGATAAAACTTATGAGCCATTCATCAGCCATTCATGAGCGTCAATAGCCATATACAACAGTAATCCATTAGCAAAATTCGGGTTTTTCCACGGACCATACCTAGGCCAATTTGCCTATGATTTAACCAATGAGGTGTATAGAATACGCTAGAGAGATAACTCTGTAGGGAGGCAGTGAGGCCTATCAATTTCCGCATTGCACGGCAAGAAGTGACTCACAGTGTATGGCGTTCTATTGCATCTCGCTATTAGGATTGTTATTTCGTGCGTTTCTTTTTTATCTAAGAATTGACAGACTGATAAGAAAAGATAGTCTTATAATAGGGTTGGAAGTAAACGGCTCCCGCCAGTATTTCTACGGATAGAAGTGGGGATGGATCAATTTTACTTCACCGGTTTGTTGACGATTAGGCCTATCCTTACCATGAGGTTCTTCAATATGTTCGCTTTTCTGTAAAATTTATACATTTTTTGTTAAATTTTATTTCTTTGGTACTTGCTATATTCCTCCTTGTTTCATGACCGATGCCTTGCAAGGTGATCACTTGATACACCTCGTCAAAAATATCGGCTTTAAATATACGGCTGTTTGTTTGCGAAGGTATGCCGAAAAAATTAAAGAGGGAAGTCATAAATAAAAACAAATCAGGTATTCCCCTTCAGATCAACAAACTCGTTTTGTTTAGCATGTTTAGGGACTGCGAAAAAAACGCTATAGATCCTCCAAAACAACGGTCGGTACCATCACTGTTAATGTCCAGATTCCAGAATTATGCTTTACCTTCCAATTTTCCTTAAAATCCAATAATTTAGGTTCGTAGGTGTTTCAGATTTTCCAGTTTAATCACTTAAAACTGAATTTTCGCCTGAATTCTCTGCTTAATTTTGCACGCTTCATACAAGAGTTTGTACGGCACTTCTCCGCTCTTGCCGTGCAAATCAGTTTTCTCCTGGCTTCACTTCCTGTGGTCAGGGCTGCCTCGAGTTGACCCTCTAGCGTATTCTATACACCTCATTGGATTTAACAAATTTGCTTCTAAAACTTTAAGGCTTCTTCTCCTCATGTGGTCAAAATTCTTGAATCAAAATTTTCATGACTTCATCACTGCTTCTATAGTCTAAATATTTGCCTCCAACTGTTCTAAATAGAACACTTTGACTTGGGCTTATTGCAGGTAAAATTCTCCTACTGAATATTCTCCTACTTTGAATACACTCATTTTTTATAAGAAACTGGCTATACGAAACAAGTACTGGACAGTCAGAAAAATTAAGAAACTTCAGTACTCGAAGCAAAAAAATTAAGAAACTATTAAATCGTGATAAAACTGAGAACAACGAAAGTTTGTAAAATCCAAGAACATTTTTGCCCTGTTGGCCTAGAATTTAAGACACAAAGGATAAAAATATACTTACCACGTCTAAGTACAGCATCGGAGAGAACGGAAGCGAATCTCTTAACGTGAAAAAAAGGTCACGAAAATTTCAAAAAATCTTTTATGACATCATAATTAAGAACCTCCTAAGAAACAGTGAGTATTGACATTTCTAGAACATTAAGAAACTGGAGTACTCAACATCGACCTTTGTTTCTTATAAAAAAATGAGTGTAGTCTCCATATTTGAGAATCATCTTCTATTAGAACCATAATTCTTAAAAAGTCTCAAAACAACTTCAGCAGTTAAGTTGGTTAGACTTGGCTTTTGTAACTTTTAGCCCTAATTTATCTTGATTTTGAAATAAGTGAAAATGGTTACCAAAAGCACGGGAGTGCTGGATTTCGCGGGTAGAGACAGATGAAGATTATGCAGAAGATACACGGTATGCGCGGGAAAGACGCGAGAAGTCTAAGAAAAAAAAACCTTTCCACGAAATTAGAAAGTGGAACTTTGCAGTTATACAAATTGATAAGTACAAAATAAAATTAATGTTATTCAAACAAACATTTCTTGTAGAAAGTTCTGAACTATGATTTAATGAGCTATAATAACTGATCTGTTAAACTGGCATATAACTTCTGCCATATAAACTCTTTTTTTCTCGTAGTTTTAGTCACCTCGCAGGCTTTTCTCTACTTCACACAATGAATTCATTTGTGTTTTCAAGTTTTCGGCATTTTCCCGCAACCTTGTTGCTGCCTCCGATTTCGATCCTTCGTGAATATCCTGGGAGGTTGTCACTATTTCGTAAATAGAAATCCCCAAACCGACAACAGCGAAGAACGTTGCCACCTTACCAGCGACCAATGATGTATCTTTAAATGCCTTCAGGCCTTTCAACATCTTAGGGCATTCTTTCAGAACTGATATCTCCGCAGCAGTGAAAGACTTTATTAGCTGCAGGGCTTGGACACTTTTTGCAATGCCACAGGCTGATGATGCCGTGTTGGCAACAAGAATTGTGCCATCAAGACCAACTGAAATGCCCTCCAATTTTACAATCTTTTCAAGTTTGGCTTGCAACAACTCCAATTTCTCAACATAGCCTATCAGAATTTCTACAATCGCACCAAGCTCTTCTGTTTTACTCTTGTCCTTGTCCAAATAATCTTGTGCTGCCTGGCATTTATCTGAAAAAGGGAAAAAGATGGATAATGTCATACACTTTTTGATGTTGCTTGGAATTAACGATGAAGGGGGGGGGGGGCTTTGGCATCTCACGAGTTGTGGGTTTGGCCAATTTTATGATAGAATTTCGGGTTTTGATTATTAAATTTCCCCCTGTGAGTTCTGAAAAACTCTGACATATATCATGTGAGTTTTGAAAAACTCTGAGAAAGGGTGGTCTGAAAGCTAGAATTCTGCAATGGCGGATCCAGGATTTTATCTGAGGGGTGCGAATCTGGGCAACGCTCTGACCATACCCTAAGTGTGCCACGCCCTTGATACAGCTACCTATGAACCATACCCTTAAAAATGATAAGTATACTGTGCTGATTAAAAATGGGTGAAAGGTGAAAGATGGACACATTCAAATTTGTCAAAAATAAAAATAAAATCGTCGTTTTCCTTTTGGTGACATGCTTCATGATTCACAACCCGTCTAGGACATTTGAATCGAATAGAGAACTTGAAAGCAGATATAATCTATACCAACAAAGATAGCTACCCTTCATTTTGGATGATTCTACAATTGATGTGGTAATATTCGTTGCAGCTCCTGCAACTCCTGTAGCAGCTCCAGCAACTGTGAGGCCAAGAGATGCCCCAAATGTGAATGGGGACAATAAAATTCCCCCTAAAGCCATGAGTCCTCCAGCTGCACCGACACTAGATCCAGTCACATTGGCAATGTTGCAGCCTTTATGTAGATCATCACATTCATTGGCAATTTGGTAGAGCTGAGATATCGTTTCCTCTCTAGATTTCTTCCACACAGGCATAATGCGCAGAAAGTTGTTTTTGGCCTCAGAAAAGTTGTTTAGGTGATCAAGAATTTCTTGGACTTCTTTTTCAGAAACCTGGTCCTGCTTTTTCAAGGTTGATTCCTTCTCATGCCCTACGGCCATTTTTCCAGCTGAACAGCCCTTTCCAAGGTAATTGAAAGCTTTTCCCGCCTTTTTCATTGTCTATCTTACCCTACAAGAAACAACTGTATGATATAGCATACCATCAGATAAGGTATTCCAGTGGGATCCCGCTTAAAAGAAACTCAAATTTTCATATCAGGTTGTCTAGTTTCCTATACGCAAGAAAATGAGGATGGATGATTTCTCAGACCCCGTTTACACTGTCCCGTGCAAGTTTGGAACCGTGACAAAACTGTCGCGGTTCGCCCTTGCGTTTACACTAGCACTGTGGAACGGTGACGATTTTGCTCTGCTATCCGGAACAGTTTTTACCCTGCTTTGAAAGCGAACGAATTTTGTACCGTCACGGTTCCGTTTTTGAACGGGACAGTGTAAACACCTATCCGAGACGATTTTGTCACGAATCACAAAGAGGTCTTTTGTATGGCTGTTTCAGGTAATCGAGGCTTTGATTGTGGCGTAACTACGTTCTCAAATTCTGAAGAAAAGGAAATTCTGAAGAAAAGACGACCACAGAAAAGGCTTGTAGTGTTTCCCAGTCCAGTCCTTGATTGGACTTTGCAGTTTTGTAGTCTAAAATAACACTGAAAATTAAAGCCACCTTGTCTCTCGTCCAAGTAAAGTTTTAATCGGCCTTCCGCTCCATTTTAACTCACAATAAAAATTCGATTGTTGACTTCAGCGGCAAAATAAAAGCCTTGGTTGACTAAATACAGCTTCTTCTGAACAATGTTCTACCATTAAATTAAGGTCGTACCGGTACAGTGTAAACGGAACAGCTAAACGGAACAATTTGGAACCGCGACAGTGTAAACACTTGCGAACCGTAACGGTACAAAATTGTCCCGGGACAGTGTAAA